GACTTCGCGCGGTCCGAAAACGAGGCCTACAAGGCGATCCGAACCGACTTTGGCTTGCCGCTGCCCGGCCACGCGACGACGCCCGTGACCGACGCCGAGTACACGCACGCAATCACTGTCGTTCAAAGCCTCGGCAAAGTCGCTGACCAGCGCGCCGCCGTTGACAGCGTTCGCGCGGTCATGGCACGAATGACCAAGACGGAGCTGCTGCAGTTCATGGCTGAGTTTGACACGGAGACAACCACGAAATTTGTGGGTCTTGGCGCGACCTTTGCCCTCAACAAAACCTCCGTCCGTATGGAGGCGTCTTCCGATGATGCGATACAAGCCAGCGATGTGGGCTTTGAAATGTCGGCCATCGGCGCAGCGATAGTCGTCGCATCCGTTCTCGTCGGTGTTGTGCTCGTCGTCCGAATGCACCGGCACGAAGGTGACGCTGCCATCATTGCGCACGTGCTCCGAGCGATCCAGGACAAGGATAAAAACCGCCACCAGCACGACAAGACTGCCAAGACGATCGTTGTCGTTGTGTAGTGCTGCCCCATTATCATAGTATACTAGCCAACCAATATTAACTTAAGACTTTCATTTCGCCCATTGTCCAGTCGATGCATCCACGCACGAAAAGCCATCGTGTGTGACAAGGCGCGTTGCGATCGTTCGTTGAGACCGACTTGCTCAAGATCGAACGCCTCGCAGAAAACGTCAAGCGCGAACCGTACAACACCGGGCGTTCGTGCTGGACACGATTTCTTCCTCCACTTCGAGTGTTCGGAATCAAAAGCCACCTTCATCCTCGCCTTCCCTGGCCCAGGTAGGTGAGGAATACACAGTTCGGATTGTGTGGCTCGTCGTGGATTGTCGATCAGGCCATGCATTTGGTGTACGTATATTTGTACTTGGGTGCGGGACACTGGATGCAATTCGACGCACACTGCTTGCTGAGTGATCCGACGCGCGCTGGACTCGCTTCGATATTTCATCATCATCAGGTCGAGGAATTCAATTAGAGCGTCACATTTTGACTCTATTTACCCCTACCAACCCCCACCCTCCTGCCCGCTGCGGTGTTGATATCCCCACAATGCGGGGGGATGCCAAGGGTGCCCTCAAATCCCCCGGATGCTGGATTTGGGGTTGAATCTCTATTAGTATGTTTCAATGGATCCCGTACAATTTTGCGGCCCTAGTGTCATGGATGCAAACCGTTTATGGGGGTTGCTACCATCTTATAGCTCCTAAGCCACGTATATGTTTCGAACGTTAGCACAGCCACGTCCAGTCGTGGGCGTGAGTCTAGGCTCGGTCTTGGCACCGTCCAAGGTCAAGACGACGACGGTGAGCGTGCCACGTCAGTCCAGCGGTTTCTGTGCAACCGACGGTGGCATGGAGAAGGGCGCGGCGATCAAGTGCGTGATCAACGACGAGCCAGCGACAGAGAACGAGGCGCCCGAAGATGCGGAAAGCGAGAACAATGGAGCGTACTGCGCCAAGCTCATGGACGATACAGCGATACGAGCGCTTCGGCGCGCGCTCGAGAGGACGACCGTGTCGATCGAGACACACGGCCATTTACGCGAGTTTCAGCGCAAGCCAGAGGAGCCACATCCGCTGCAGTATACGTCGCTCAAGCGCGAGGCCCACAAAGTCCATGAGCTGCAGACTCCCGTGCTTCCACACCGCCCGGCCTCGGCGCGGCCGACACGTACTGCATACTATTCTACCGGTGGATGGCAACTTCGGCGGCCAATTATGGACGTGTAGCGCCCGCTGCCCATGTCAGTCGCTCACGTCCGTCCACAGTACACAGCAGTGCGGCCTCCAACAACAAGCTGCGCCGGTCGTTCCAGGTCGTGCTCGCGGAAGAAAAAGCCAAGTACTCAGGTGCAACAACCATTCCGATGCACAAGTCGTCGCATCGTACATTTCGTAGCGCTCGAAGACCAATATCTCACGCTGAAAGACGCCATTTTGCGCGTACGTGCATCTTGCATCACCTCATGTCGACCGCCGTTCGTAGCATTTTGAC